TGGACCCTTGATTTTCCTTTACAGTTTATCAACTTACATCTTTCCCTGTTTACAGTCCAGTTTGGCCAGTGTGAAAACTGATCTGTTTGTACATATATATTGGGTCTAGGTTCAATGCATCTTCTTTTGGATGGTTGTTCGGGTGTAGAACTTCTAGGACGACCTACTTTTCCTTTTTGTAAAAGACCACTGTTAGTTAGTTGTTCAGCTAGAATTGTTTTGAAATTCAGCAGTGGTATAATCTCTTCAGTTTTTCCAATTTGTTTTTTAATTCGCCTGTCTAATAGCCAAGCATTGACTACTGCTACATCCAGCATATGTAATTTTTTAATTTCCTTCTTTTGCTAACCTTTATAATTGAGAATTCGATTTGTACGGATTGTTGCGATAGAATGTATGCCTCGTTTTGACAAATATGACACCAGTGGTATGCTTGAACAATAATTATCATAGAAGAGTTTGTGATGTTTATTGGATGGTACTTCTCTGCTCAACCGAACTACAACATTACTAGCAGCTCCCAAATTTACTTCATTCGGTAATTCTGTGTAACCATCTTTTCCAGCCAAAATTTCAAAATTATATGAAAATCCTGAGATTCCTGAGAGAACCCACATCTTGTATCCAAATTTATGAGGCTTTTTGCGATTGTATGTCTTCATGCTCGAACGTCCTTTGAACGATATAACTTGTTCGTCACAAGATAAGTGTTCTTCTAAAGGTATTTGCAAACACGATCTTTTTATTTGTTCAATCAGAGGCGCTATTTTGTCAAGACTGCGCGTATTTTCTAAATTATTACTAAAATGAAGAAACCTTTTGATTGTTTCAAAACGATTGATAGGCATTACATCTGCAACTTGTAAAATTCTTGTTATCGGAGCCCAATAGCGTCTTGTAGTAGGTTGTCTTATTAGAGACATCCACAGCAATATCCCCATAAAATTTTCAATTTCTACAGGACATGTGGTAATTGTCTTTTGTGGATTTGTTTGAGCGCTGTATATACAAGTTTGTCGAACTACCTCAATTATAAAATCTGGTATCAAAAAAAAAACTAAACAATTTGTAAGGAGAGTTGAGCTGCAATATGTTGATTGGAAGTAATTCACTACCTTCAAAATGCAGTTCATCTATATTTCGCACAGTTTTTGAAGGATGTCATGTCATTTGACTTTTTTTGCTAGATTTTTGTTTAGTAGGTAGTTCAGTATCCGAATCATCGGTTGATAAATTATCATCTTCATTATCAGAGTCTTCTTGACTGTCAATGATTACTCTGGGCCGGTTGGTTTGTGCAGCTAACGGCTCAACATTATCTTCATCAGATAGTTCCGAATCTTCACTTTCAGATAGAATCTGTCGTAACTTATAGGGCTGAATAGTTTTTGCTTTATTGTTGTAAAACGATGTTGGTGGAATACTTTCAAATTCATCCATTTTTTTTTTCTGAAAAAAAAAGTTTACTTCAGGTTTATTCAAATTAATTTATTTAAACCAATAATGCATTAAATAAGTACCAACTTGATAAAAACAAGCTATAAAATATTAAATTTTTTCAGTTTCAAAATTTACTTTTAGCACACAATGTTCCCGTACGGGAACAGTAATAATTTGGGGCAAATTCTAACAACAACAAAGTAAATTTATTATTTCAATATATCAGTAGATCCTTACAACACTTATAAACGCGTATATAATTTTTATTTATCAAACTTACCTTATTTTTAGCTGATATTTGAAAATAAAATACACGTGCTAAACAAACAACTTACTCGAAGGTCACTTCAACAAAACTGCTATGTATTGAAATAACCGGTGGGTATATCGGCAACACACAATACACATCTAAGAATGAACGTTCCCAAAAGGGAATAAGATGTGTACGCGCTTAAAATTGTCGATAGCAAATACTCATGGAAATTTTATATATTGAGTTCCCGTTTGGGTCCATTATGCAATAGAGGGTTAAAAATATTTAGAATATTTGAGATATTATCGATAAATTCAGAAATTTCTACTAATATGTGAAACGTCAGAAAAAATATATAAACAGATGTAGTTGTAGTACCTATGTATTTGAGTTTTTAAAGGTGATAATTAACCCCCTTTGTGGCTCAGTGGTAAGAGCGCCCACCTTTGAACGTAAAGGTCGTGAGTTCGAATCTCACCGGGATGGAGAAATTTTCGTTTATTAAAAATTAATAGATGAAAATAATTTCTATCCTTGTGCGATCGGTACTCACCGGAGGGACCGCAGACGTTCGGATACAATTAGCGTCTCTTAGCAAAGACAATGACGTCGACTTTGCTAAGTATCAAGACAATTACTCTACACCTACACACACACTACACTAGGTACCTGACTGTAAAAATTCACTGTACCATGCCAATGACCATTAGTTGTCGACGCATTAAATTTAATTAAAAAAAAGGTGATAATTGTCATTGTGTTACAGTATTGTAATATTGTTGGTGTTTAAATAAAGTTATTTTTAAGAAGTGTAACAATATCAACTACATAAATATTATATTATGAACTGTAAATTTTATTATTTGTAATATCCATATTAGTATAAAATCCAATTATACAAACTACATACCTTTTCCATTTTTAGTTTCTGGAGATACGATATTTTTCGACGTAGGTACAAAAAATCCAAAAATTATAGTCGATGATTTTGATTTTAATATGGCAAGGAAAAGCAGCCAGAAGACCACATGGATTTGTTCAGGCTATTTTAAAACGAA